TGTTTTGTTTCTCCACCTTATCACACTCGCTCCGGTGTAAGTCAGGGTTCCGTATTGGGCCCTTTGCTGTTTGGATTGATGGTGAAAGACCTAGAATCTTGTCTCAAGCATGCGAGGTGTTTATTGTATGCTGATGATCTTAAACTTATTTATGGGGTGAAAAATTTAGCAGATGCAGATACCTTACAGAGTGCTTTGTACCAGTGGAGCAATGAAAATAAACTCCATTTTAATACAGCCAAGTGTAATGTAATGTCCTTTAGTCGAGCACATAATCCTTTGCATGTTAAATACTTTTTGGGGTCAGAGCTCATAAATCGAGTCCACACTGTAAAGGACTTGGGTGTAGTCTTCGACCCTCGACTAAACTTTCACAAACATATGAGGTTACTTACAATTGACTCTTATCGCAGATTAGGTTTCGTTATCCGTAATATGCGTGGATTTGATAATCCTAAAGCTATCAAACTTGTGTACATGGCTCTAGTTCGTACCAAACTGGAGACAGCATCTATTGTATGGAATCCTCATGAGAGTACTTATGCTTTATTACTGGAGAAAGTGCAAAAAGCATTTCTTAGATTATTATTATTTATTATTTTCAGCCATGATCGTCCCACTGCAGGGCAAAGGCCTCCCTACCCTCCTTCCACTCCATTTCTTAGATTTCTGTACAAAAATATATTTGGGTACTATCCATTCTTATATCCCACCAAGTTTTTACTGGGCATGTTAAATTTTAATTCCTTGGTAGTGAGGCGAAATTACCCTCTTATCATTTCTACCTGTAGTACTCTGCGAGGACAATCTGACTGTCCTTAGCTGGTGGCACAGGTGGTACGGTTGTTTGTGCCCCCAGTTCTGAAGCATCAGCTTAGGCCACGTAAGTAGGCACCCCTTACTGGCTGTCCCAGTAACGCGAACAGTCGTGCATGAAAATTCTCCGCTTGTTCGAGCATTAACGATGATCAATGCTTTCCTGGTATCCGCACCAGAGTGTGATTTGTTCGCAGCGAGATGGAAGGATGTATGTCGTGAATGTGTAAGATTTATAATTATTGTATTTTTTATATAAGATACCTATTGCAAAAGTGTAAGTAGTTATTAAGTAAAATTATTTATTGTTTAACTGTATAATGTTTTGGCTTGTGATGTAAAATTATACATGTGCTTATAAATAAATCAATCACGAAGGACACTCCAGGCGTCGGGGATCGCGGGTCGACCTCCGTCATCCGTAAATCGTGACGTCACACGATATTTCAAATCAATATATCGTCGGAAGTCTTCAATTTTGTAAGAAAAGAAAAATACGTGTGTAATGTTTTAAAATAATGTCCCAGACGGACATTAAAATAAAATGTACTATTGTATATTTGTAAACGGACCCACGACACAGGAGAAAATCCTAGTGTGGGGCAATGTTTTTAAAGGTTTAAAAAAAATAATGAATAAAACACAAACATACTAAGTACAGCCTTATTTAATATTCTTATTACATACAAATTAATCACGCACTCATATTTTTATATAAATTTCGATATAGGTACATCTATTTCTACTTTCTAATACATAGCAGTTTCATATAGGCAGCACCTTACAATTTGAATTATTTTACAAGGTCAGGAAATTGACAATTTAAGAAAATACACATAGAAAGATAATTTTGAAAAATTTTATAACATTTGTTAGACATATAGTAAATTAATTATTATGTTCTCGGCTTACTTACGTAACTATATGACGAGGAACTCGACTAGTTTGAAGCCATTTTAAGCAATGTGCCAGTCACCGCGCGCCGCGGAATGCTGCTCATGAATATGAGCTTCTAGCATAGCTTGAAACTAGTCGATTTCCTCGTCAAACGGTTACGTAGCCGAAACCATAATAATAAACTATGAAAACGATAATAAATACTTGAAGACTTCGAAAATTCTCGGGGAATGAAAAATATGTGATTTATGCAGTATAAAAAGAGCAAAATTATGTATATTTATTTAAATATATTTGAGACAAACATTTAGTTTAAGTAAACATACCGTTGAATAGTGTATTCACAGATTTAATACATTTCTTATTATTATAAAACTAAGACTAAAAGCCATTTTTGTGTACAGAATCTTATTTTATTAATACAAAATAATTTTAGACGTCAATTCTACCAAAAACACTTTTTTAATGAATATTTTCAACGGATCTTGACCAAATTGAAAGACATTTTGTAAATAGGTACCTAGTATCCGTAAGTATCTGTAAGTAAAAATAAAATTTTGTTCGTTAGTTTCACGAAAACCAGAAAACGACTGGACCGATTTGATTAATTTGTAGAAGCCCAATGAAGGTTTAAAAAGGTGACAAAAAATGTTAGCTTTTTTTAGGGGGGGGGGGGGAATCATCGAATGACCGCTCCCGGGTGAGGAGGGAGGGGAGTGTCAGACTCTTACTGACTAAAAACCACCCCGTTCCTTCTCCTGCACTTCGAGCCGGAGCCCCGGTTACCCGTTAGGTTCTCCGTGACATGTTTGAAGTGTTACGAAGTTTATCAGGTCAGTCAGCTAGAAACATATATTAATAAAATAAGATCCTATACACTTTAAAGTCAAATTCTACACATCAATTTGTATTCACTCGAAAAAGTATCTAGTAAATATGTATATCTAGATTTTTAGACAATCTAAACGCCCTTACTACGTTGTATTAAGGGTTATATTACTAGCCTTAAAATTAGCTATTTATTACTAAATAGACGATATTATGAATTGGGGAAGATAGAGACTGAACACGCCATTTATATGTTAAACGAATAGACGAAATAGAATAAATAGAAATTTATCTAATATTTGAAGAAGAAAATTATTAAGACTATAATTTATCGTTAGAATGAAAACAACAGTAGAATTATGTATTTAAAAAAAAGTTTGTTAGGTTCATTACTCAAAAACTGATGGACGGATTTTGATGAAACTTCGTATAGATATAGGTCAAAACCTGATAATAGAAAATAGTCTATTGACTAAGGCATTAGAAAAGAAGTATTCAGCTGTCAGAACAAAGATGCTAAAATAATGTTAGTTCAAAATATTAAATATGTTCTTGTCTAATCCACCCCAACTCATTGAAATCATTATAAAGAATAATCCTTTAAAAAAAATAAAGGAAAAAAATAACAAAACAAAAAACCTTATAAATAATAATAATGATTTACTTTCTAATTATATTAGTACAAAATTGTGATTTTGGATTTTTGTAAAAAAATATAATTATATTACCTTTGTAATTTGTTTAGCAGTATAATATGATTCTTTACTTTAATAGACTGCCGGAATACTGAACCGTTATTCAAATTTAAGTCGTGCTTAAATATCGTGCCATCTCTGTCATTTTACAAAGGATTTGTAGAGATAGAACTATACTTAAGCACGACTTAAAATTGAGTATCGTTTGAGTATTCCAACATTATTAAAGTTAATATAACAATCTTACGTTTTATAATAGATAGAAAGAGGTGCACAGACATGTAATTATTATATAATTATATAGAACAATAACTTTCATCAGTTATCTCATTGTACCATACTCTGTGCTAATTATTACTGAGAATTTCAGTAAATGAAAGAGACAGTTACAATTTGCCTGGCCTGCGAATCGAACTGGAGACCTCATAACCAGCTGTATCGCAGCCAATCATTAGTCGAAACAGTTTGCTGGACTTACAGACTACGATTTTATAATAATTGTGATTTTTCTATTTCCAATTACAATGTATTTGGACATCATTAAAATATAAGTTACTTATAAACACAAAATTTGTGCAAAATATATAACATAACGCATTTTAATCCACAAAAGGATTGACAGAGATGCACAAAATTGAATGTCACACCTAAATATTCAGAATCAGAATATTTTTATTTGTAAACATAGGTATGTGAGGTGTCATTCACCAGTTTTGAGTCGACTTTTGATGAACTTACTGTAAAACTACTTAGAAAGAAATCGAACCCGCGATTATGTGATTGGCAGTTTACTATCAACCATGAGACTATAGCAATAAGATAAAAATAATAATATTAAAACATCACGTTTCATAAACTCGGAAAGGTTAGAGCGAGGTGCATATATATACAGAGTGTAAACGACGCTACAGAAAACGCAAAAAAAATTGTGAATTAATCGTTTTTGTTTAAGGGCCGTACAAGTATTACGTAAGCACCATAGAGGGGTCCCCACCCCTCTGTTTTGCTTATTTCGGATGATATGGGTTTTTTTTTAAGCGGGGAAAATCATCGAATGACTGCTCCCGCCTGGGTGAGGCGGCAGGGAGTGTCAGACTCTTACAGACTAAAAACCACCCCGTTCCTTCTCCTGCACGTCGAGCCGGAGCCCCGGTTACCCATGGGGGGTAGGGGAGTCTAGATAATGATTATGTCATCGGTAGTTATTTACTTTTTTTACACGAATGGCAACCCTCATATTTAAATTATAAATTACAAGCAAAGACCGACATAGAACTAGACATTATGTTATCTAAGAGCATATTAAACTACCATATAAAAAAAGGGGGGAGGGGGTTAGATCTTTGCTTACTGTTGCTGATAAGGGGGATGGGGGGTGTAAATAATTGTAAAAAAATGCTTACATAATAATTGAACGGCCTCTGAATGTTATTTTCGCAACATCAGCCTTATGAACAGTTGATTTATAACTATTATTACCATTAGCTACTTTCTCGCGATTTCACCCGCTCTGCTCGGCGCCTATTGATCATAGCGTGATATTTTTTAAAGCCTTCCTTAATAAATGCACTATCTTACTCGAAAATAATTTTTCAAATCGGACAAGTTTCTGAGGTTAGCGCGTTCAAACGAACTAACTCTTCAGCTTTATATAATAAAGTCTTCTATTACATGCATACATCTACGCCTTTTAACCCCGAAGGTGTAGGCAGAGGTGCACATTACGGCACTTAATGCCACTACAATGTAACACCAACTTTTCACTATTTATGTTATGAGTCCCATGTAATAGGGGGTGAGCCTATTGCCATATACCGGGCACAATTCCAGACTCCGTGTTAAAACCAACCTACGTATGTATATCCCGAAAAAACGTGATTTCGCGTACGCAGTCGCGGGCGAAGCTGGCATAAGATAATTCTTTACTTTTATATGAAAATAAAACTAGTTCTTCGGCGTTTTCAGGAGCGTACAGTTTACACTTTGTTTACAATGTAAACACCTACTTTTAGCTTTTAAAACTAAAAATAAAATATTTGTGATGTCAAACTAAAAATAACCTTTAGGAAGTCCCTAGCAAATATAAAGCCTTGTCCTTAGGGAGTCCCTAGTAAACATAACGCCTTGTCCTTAGGGTGTCCCTAGTAAACATAACGCCTTGTCCTTAGGGTGTCCCTAGACAGGGGTGTATTACAAAAGTCAAAATTTGTTAAAAACAAGAATTAAAAATTATATCTGTGTGATCCACAGATTGTTGTTCCGGGTCTGGGTGTCATGTGTATGTGAACTTGTATGTTTGTAAACGCACCCACGACACTGGAGAAAATCCTAGTGTCGGGACATGTTATAAAAAACACATCTGGGGATAAGTCCGCTTATATAATTATACCAAATCGCATCAACTTCTGTGAACCATAATCTACAGTAGTAGTAACCACGAAAACACCGAAATACTGTAATCACGCGCTTCTTACGGACATAAAAACATACGTTTCTAACTCTATTCTACATTTTTACAACCGAAAAAAGAAGAATAAAAAAAAACAAAGTGCGAAAATACTACACCGAAAAAGAGTTCCACTTTCACAAGCTAGATGGCGCTGTCCTACAATTAGGTGCGAAGAAGAAATACACACATATTTTTTAACATATCACTTTTACGATGAAATAGTTTGGATAATTCACTAGTGTTCATTTGATATATTCACGCCGCGTATCGGTACGGTGTCGGCAGGAGCATCAGGCGCCCACTTTGTTTCTCCGCTTGTTCAGTAGCGAATTATTGCTTTGTTCCAACGCTTTGATTTGTACCTGTAATGGAAATTTTTGAAGATTAGATTTATTGTATTTCATCATCATCATCATATCAGCCACAGGACGTCCACTGCTGAACATAGGCCTCCCCCAATGACTTCCAGATGGGCTGGTTGGAAGCGACCTGTATTCAGCGGTTCCCTGCGACCTTAATAAGGTCGTCTATATTGTATTTATCAGAAGAAAATTATAATTGTTTATATAGGTACAATGAGTATATACCTATACTATAAAAACACTTAATTTCACAAATAGTCAACGTAAGACTGCTACAAATATGAAAAATCCGAGTGAATTCGCCTGATTCAGAAATCGAATCTGAGCCAAAAATATTTTAGCTTTAAACAAAAAATAACGTAGACGTGATTTGTAAAAGAGACAAAAATACACAACAATTAGTTAGAAAACATGCACAATTTTATATACGGATAAAATTCACAAAATTAAGTAAAAACACAACTATATAATATAATGACATGCGTTTACACACACATAAAAAGTCAAAGAGTATAAATTGTTAAAAAAAATTACAGTTTTCCAATGCTCATAACA